ATTATACATTTGTATTTCTATAATTTGTGTTTGTATAAAGTGAGGGAGTGACTTGTAGAAGTGAATCAAGAGAGAGATTGGGCAGGGAGATAAGAGATGATTGAAAAAGTGAAGATAGAGAGACAAACGAGATTCCAGAGAGAGGGGAGAGAGAGGCGAGAGGCGAGAGGCGAGATGCGAGAGAGGAGTGTAATTATAGCTAGAAGTAAGTTCTGAATTGCAAATTGTAGCTATGTTAGCTTAACCGCGTAATTTTTCCTACATAAAATGCGTCTTTTCGTCGTTGTCTAACGATGGATTTAAACAAAATGATACGATATAATAAAATTTAAGTAACAATCAAAACAAATATCATATTTTAACTAACAATACAATGAAATATTTCATTTCGTAACATATATATATTTTTTTTATTATGTTATAAATGTAATAAAATTTGTTTTTTTTTTTTGAAGAATTTGAATAGTTATGTGATGCTATTTATATTATGTCAAAAAAATAAAAAATACTATAAAACATAAAATAGCCAAACTATTTTGGCCAAGTGGGAAGCAACAAAAACTAGTCAAATCTGGCTAGCGGGACTAAGTTAAACGAATCACAGACCGTTAAAGCATCATATCAGAGATCAAACGGCTATAAACGCATTCTCAGTCTTAGGGTTTTGGAACATTCTAGAATTCTACTCCTTATAAAGTCTCGTTTTTCTCTTAACATTCTTCCTCCTTACAAACCCTAGTTCCTCAAAGCTCTTTTGCTGCCTCTCCTTTCAAAAACTCGCCGACACTAAGCGAAGGAGAGAATAGCAGAGATTTACAGTAGTAGATATGGCTGGAAAGGGTGAAGGTCCAGCAATCGGTATTGATCTTGGTACCACATACTCTTGCGTCGGTGTTTGGCAGCATGATCGTGTTGAGATCATCGCTAATGATCAAGGTAACAGGACTACACCGTCTTATGTTGGATTCACTGACTCTGAGCGTCTCATTGGTGATGCTGCTAAGAATCAGGTCGCTATGAACCCTATCAACACTGTATTCGGTAAGATCTCGATCTACTCTTTGTACAAGTTTTTTCATTCATGATCTATGATGATTTATCAATCTCTGTATGTTCATACTGCTGCTGTCGTTCTAATCTTTTTAGCAAACGTTGTGTGATCTATGATTCTGTATCAATCTCTGTTTTTCATACTGTTGCTGTCGTTCTAATTTGTTGGATGTTCATTGCTTATTGATAATCAGTTTAGCTTACTTATCGTGCTAGATCTGACTAGATTTACTGTGAAGCTTTAGTTTTTTATGCTCTGAGGCTAGACAAACACTATTTACTTAAATATTCATGCGTACTTGTGCAGTTATTAATTATTTGGATATAGTTCTCCTAGATCTAGATCTTAAGCAAGTAGAAACATATTAGTCGTATCTTACAAGTTTCATGACTAGTATGATAGTTACTAGTTTGTGATCTTGTTTCCACTTTCTAGGTGCTGTGTTATGGGTCTGCCTTGCATGTGATATGTTGATTGGGAAGTTTGGAAGTTGTGCTACTTTGGTTAGGCCAGTGATTGCTATTGATTCGTGTCTTTGTCGATAATTGAAATTAAGTTTAAGATCTTGTCCTTGTAAGTTTACCTAGTGTAGATCCACTGGCTTTTTATGAAGATAATAAGCGATTTTACTTTTTATGTTCTAGTATTTGCTTGTGCTTATATAGAGTTGAATTGACCTTGCAACTTTTGATCTTATTTGTACTTGGATCAATTTGCTTTTCATATTGAAAGCTTAGCTCTTACATAAAACTATACTTAAATATCTGAAGTTTTGACATTGTTTGAAGTTCTTTTTCTGTGGCATATCTTGTTTGACATGTCCATATGGAGTTTGAAACTGGTTTTGTAGCCCGTCTTATTTTTGACATGTACGTTTGAAGATTAGAAAAGGTTACAGTGCTAGATATTCTGCTTAATTTATTGTTTTATCTAGGTTCTTGCTGAAGTCCAATGCTTGTCCTTGTATTTTAGCTAGCTTATTTCTTTTATGTTGATATGTATCTATGCCTATTATAGTGGGAAGTTGTCAGGAGATCTGACTTGGAGAGGTCTGATGTAGTTTGTTTGTATTTTTCTGATTGCTGGATTACTTGCATAGTATGATAGTCATTTTATTGGTCAAGTAGGCTATGGTTGGAAATCTTAATTTTAAGTAATAAATAATATATTGGAATTTGTATTTGGTAGAGAAGATTTTTGGTTAATTTGTAGGTTTTAAGATTTATATGCTGAACAAATTTATTTATAATGCAGATGCAAAAAGGTTGATTGGTAGGAGATTCAGTGATGCCACAGTGCAAAGTGACATCAAGCATTGGCCATTTAAGGTCATTCCTGGACCTGGTGATAAGCCAATGATTGTTGTTAACTACAAGGGTGAGGAAAAGCAGTTTGCTGCTGAGGAAATCTCTTCTATGGTGCTCATTAAGATGAGGGAGATTGCTGAAGCTTTCCTTGGTTCCACTGTCAAGAATGCTGTGGTTACCGTGCCAGCCTACTTTAACGACTCTCAGCGTCAGGCCACAAAGGATGCTGGTGTTATTGCTGGTCTGAATGTTATGCGTATTATCAACGAGCCTACAGCAGCTGCCATTGCTTATGGTTTGGATAAGAAGGCAACTAGTGTTGGTGAGAAGAATGTGTTGATCTTTGATCTTGGTGGTGGTACCTTTGATGTATCTCTCCTCACCATTGAGGAAGGTATCTTTGAGGTGAAGGCTACTGCTGGAGACACTCATCTTGGAGGTGAGGACTTTGACAACAGGATGGTCAACCATTTTGTTCAAGAATTCAAGAGGAAGAACAAGAAGGATATCAGCGGTAACCCAAGGGCACTTAGAAGGTTGAGAACTGCTTGCGAGAGGGCGAAGAGGACCCTTTCATCCACTGCTCAGACCACAATTGAGATTGATTCTCTCTATGAGGGTATTGATTTCTATTCCACCATCACCCGTGCTAGATTTGAGGAGCTTAACATGGATCTGTTCAGGAAGTGTATGGAACCAGTTGAAAAGTGTTTGAGAGATGCTAAGATGGACAAGAACTCTATCCATGATGTTGTACTTGTTGGTGGCTCCACCAGGATTCCCAAGGTTCAGCAGCTATTGCAAGACTTTTTCAACGGGAAGGAGCTCTGCAAGAGCATCAACCCTGATGAAGCTGTTGCTTACGGTGCTGCTGTACAAGCTGCAATTTTGAGTGGTGAAGGTAACGAGAAGGTGCAAGACCTGTTGTTGTTGGATGTTACCCCTCTTTCCCTTGGACTGGAAACTGCTGGAGGTGTCATGACTGTGTTGATCCCTAGAAACACCACTATCCCAACCAAGAAAGAACAGGTCTTCTCAACCTACTCAGACAATCAGCCAGGTGTGTTGATCCAGGTCTATGAAGGTGAGAGAACTAGAACCAGGGACAACAACTTGCTTGGCAAATTTGAGCTCTCTGGTATTCCTCCTGCTCCCAGGGGAGTTCCTCAGATCACAGTGTGCTTTGACATTGATGCCAATGGTATCTTGAATGTTTCTGCTGAGGACAAGACTACTGGACAAAAGAACAAGATCACCATCACCAACGACAAGGGCAGACTCTCCAAGGAGGAGATTGAGAAGATGGTTCAAGAAGCAGAGAAGTACAAGTCTGAGGATGAAGACCACAAGAAGAAGGTAGAGGCAAAGAATGCTTTGGAGAACTATGCATACAACATGAGGAACACCATCAAGGATGAGAAGATTGCATCCAAGCTGCCAGAGGCAGACAGGAAGAAGATTGAGGAAGCCATTGAGCAGGCCATCCAGTGGCTCGATGCCAACCAGCTTGCTGAGTCTGATGAATTTGAGGACAAGATGAAGGAGTTGGAGAGCATCTGCAATCCAATTATTGCCAAGATGTACCAAGGTGCTGGTGGTGACATGGGTGCTGACATGGGTGATGATGGTCCTGCTCCTAGTGGTGGCAGCGGTGCCGGTCCTAAGATCGAGGAGGTCGACTAAGCTGTTTCTGCGCCTCATGTTTTTGGTTTCGTCAGTTAGTTTTTATCCTTAAGAACTCCATTTTATTATTTCTGCATCGTAGTTTTAGTTAATGGTGATACTTTTTGCGTATTTTGGCTTGAACTTGTTTATCAAGTATACTATCATTTTTCGGATTTATAATTTCAGATTTTGCTAGAAAGCTTTGCTGTCCCGTTTAATCTATATCTATGCCTTAATATTCACTGTGTTATTCGTTCTGTGACCACTCTTATGATATTGATGCTTGTGGCTACTAGTTCTGGCTCTCTCTCTTTGTTTATTGAAGATAAACACAGGATATACAGGACTAAAAGTTGTTCATTCGATCATTTGTCTAATGAATTCATGTTTTGTTTATTGTTGAAGCCCTACGAAATGGTTGTTAGTGGATAAAATATTGTTTACTCCTAAGTTTGTGATTAAGGAAATGTCAAGTATGATAATTGGACGATTGCTGATCTGAAAGGTCGATTATCCATTGATAGCTCTTGTATCGTTTGAAAGTTATTTCAGTTATCCCACTATCTCAATACAAGTGGAATATGAAATTAGCACGTAGTTCTTTTGACTATTCCTACATAAAATATTAAAGGGGAAAAGTAGTTTGCTGAAGAGGGGACCAATAAAACCAGTGGGTAGCAGTTGCCACCATTGACCACACCGTTTGCAAGTTGATGATGACATGCACTATTCCAGAAAAACAGAAAGAAAGCAAAATTTGACTCAGCTTTCTTCATTTTAATTGTCACATGCTGACCAGTGACCACAATTACTCCATTGCCTGGTGTTTGTGGTCCTTATCATAGGCTCTCCAGTGTCATCACTGATTGAGGTTCATACAGGATTGTGATACTTTTTTTCAATACCAACAGAACATCATCTACGTAGACTGAAAATATCAATTCTCCCTACTACTATATACTTAAAAAAGGGTATCAAATATCATAGCAAATAGTGTTGCAACAGAAGCTACAGCTAGTCTGGGAAAACCTACCAACAACATCTAGTGTGTGCAAATGGAATATATATATATCATACAATTGCATAAAACCACATCATATATGAAAACTAAGTTGGTGCATACTGAAGCACCCTTTCCCCTAACAGGCATCAGTACATCTCCACTTAGGTCAACATGAGGTCGTTTCCTCCAAGGTGAGGACGGAGGCAGACACGAACTTCATGTTCTTCAGGTCCTTCGCAAAGTTTTGGAACCAACATCTCTAGCACAGTTCCTGATTCGTCGTAGTACGCTTCAATTTTGGCATCTTCTGGGATTCTTGTTGACAGAGGAATTTCTCTGACAAATTCACCTGGAGGGCAGTGTTCTGAGGATGATTCGTCAAGCTTGAAAGTTCTGTTTTGTCGGTTGATGAATGGCATACGAGATGTGCTTAAACAAGACACCTTTATTATACCATGTGTGAGCGTGTTTCGCCAGGAAACTTTCACCCTTTGAAGATCTACAAATGGCAAACTGAGTACGATTAAGTAACCTTGTTCATCTTCATATATGCTTTTTGCAGCTGTTACTGGCCCGTAGACATCCCTCATCACCCCACTAAAGTCATGTAACCAATGTGGTTCAGTTGGGTGAATTTCAAGATCTGGAGTTTGATAGGAAGGAGGATTTACTTGCAGGAAACACTCATCTTCATTTCCGTGAGGGAAGAAATCCTTTTTCCTTTTGCCATTCGCAGGTAGTAGATCCATTGCATCCCCGTTGCTGTGATTGGATGGCTGAGTTAACAAATTAAGCCCTGATCCATTAGCCAATTTCTTTGGATTGGAATGCAGATTACTCTTAATTGGTGGGAGTGGTCTCTCAAGCTCAAATTCAGTGTTGGGGAGGTTCCTCCATGAACTGTAATCGCTAGCTTCGTGTGGGATACTGAAGTTGAGTTCCCTACCTGTGAGTTCCATCCATCTTTTGCGCTCCTCTTCATCAAGAACCAAAAGACTGGGGGATGAAACAACCTCAATACCATGAATACACTGAGGATTCGATAGCCCCCTGTAGTGCTTCCTCTGCATTCTATGAGATCGAACAAAACCCTTGTCAGCACTAAAGGGAAACGGACGCTCCCCTTGACGAGAATGCCCATTCATGTAACTCCGAAGCTGCATCTTACCGAGTGCATTCTCAGGCCTTTCCTTGAAAATCCACATATACAGGTTCTCCATGTCATGCTGAACCATGAACAAATCAAGCTGGAGATCAGATTTATCAAACCCGGAATATCCATTACTATCCCTTACCATCTTTGCCTTCGATTTCTCATTTAACACAGGCCTAAAATAAAAGCTAAAGAAAACCCAAGCACCCCAAATACTATCCAAACGTTTCGCACATTTCCTTCCAACTTTAGATGCACTAATAGAACTTTCAGTCTCATATACCTGTGTCCCAAGCCCGACATCAAGAATATCACAATGTTCTGAGTTCCATGGCTGCGGAGGAGGGCTACGCTCAGCTGATAAAGGCAAATTAATATCAGGTGGACAAGTTATGACTACTTGTCTACTCATCTCGAGGTCTAATTCATCATGTGAAGAAGATGCACTCGAATCCATGGACAAACGAGTCGAAGGATGATGATTCTCCATCGACAGCCAATACAACACCAAACAGTATCTCCTATTTCACAATTCCTTTTCTTTGGGAGACAAACAATTGCTAATGACAAACTTCAAAACTAACAAACCAGAACAACTACTTGAACAAAAAGACTAAATCTTTACAAACACAACAACTATACTAAAGTTCTCTAACAACAACAAACCTATATCAAAACTTATTCCACCACTGAAACAAACAAAAACCCCAGATTGGAAAATCAGCAAAATACCAAAAAAAGGGAAATCCCACACAACCCCAAATTCTTATGCAACAAAAGAATGAACTTTTAGGAACAAAAAATCCCTATTTATACATAGATGACAAAATCCCAAATCCAAGAAAATCAACTCTGTAAAAGCGCATAGGCTTTTTTTTTCCAACACAAACAATATAAAAATTGAATCTTTATCACTATATAGTATACTTTTTTTTTTAATAACAAAAGGTGTAAATATAGTGGATGTATAGTATATTACCAATCAATGAAGCCAAAACCCAAGAAAAGTACCAAATCTGAAGTGATTTTGGAAGAATACCTTAAAACTGCAGGAGCAACAAAGAAGAGAGAAGAAGGGAAATCAATGGTCCAAATTAACACCCCCATCTTCTTCTTCTCTTACCCCTTTATCTCTTTTTTTTGTTTTTTGTTTTTGTATCTGACTGAGTCTTTGTTGTCTTTCTCTTAAGAATTCGTCATACATACACACACAATACAAAAGGGGCTAAAGGGGCGGAGATAGAGATATATAGAGAGAGAAAAGTGAATATAGAGAGAGAAAGACAGAGACACAAATGGAGGAGGAGGCTGGAAAATGGGGTCTGTGAGGTTTAGGGGACAGATATGTTGGTTTCTGGTGAGATTGACACAGAAAAATCAAGAATCATCACCGTTTCCCAACCGTGTTTCCTTAATTGCGTTTGCTCCTTTATTTGACTAACTGAATTTAAAATATAGTATTTTTAATCTATCACGTGGCATAACAAGTGATTTCAAACTTTTATAAAAGTCTGAGACTCTTAATCAAATGTCGAGATAAGTACTAAAAACACCTTTTAAATTTGGCGCGAATCATTTCATCCTGAAACTATTGACAACTTTTAAAATACTTATCCATTTGACTAACTGAACTTAATTACATTCACGATCTGCCACATGTAGGGAGTGTTCGAAACCGAACTGTAACCGATAAATCAACCGCAAAATTGACTTATTGGGATTGAGTAAATGGATAAACAGTAGGGGAACATATTGAAATATTATAAAATTAACTGCTTATTGGTGTGAGGGTGGATTATTCAATTTTCTTATCAGGTAAACCATTAACCCGTTAAGGGTTACCATACTTACATTTTTATTTTAGATAATAGCCTCATTTAATATTTTACCATAATATATAAGAGTGATTATATATTTTTCTTTTGTTAGTCCTAACTCCTAAAGACTAAAGTTGTAAATCATTAAAACTAGAAAAGCACCGAAGATATGTACATGAAAAGTATGCCGCAATTTATCGAGTCATTGACAAAGTGCTTCCACTGAACAATGAAAATGGGACAACTAATTGAAAGTCTGGATCAATTTATCCATTTGATCTTGTTATTGCTAAAATGTCGTTTTTTCTATAAGGTGCATTCATCGAAAAAAAAAGTACCATAGACATTAGAAGTTAACTGATACACCGCTCGATAATTATTAATCTGTTACTGAACCAACTGATGTCTTATATGTTGGCTAGAGGATTAGTAAATCTAAAAACATGTATCCGATAAGCTAAACCGTTAAGCAAAATTATCCGCCTAATTCGTTCGATAAGCAGCCCCAGCCACATGGCATAACAAGTGATCTCAAACTCTTTTAGGAGCGTAAGACTCTTAAGAAAATGCAGAGAGAGTAGTATTGAAAATACCTCTAAATTTGGTACGAATAATTTCATCGCAAAACTATTGACAACTTTGAAAATACTCATCTATTTGATTAACTATACTTAAATATGTCTCTGGTCTGCCACATGACATAACAAGTAGCATCAAACTCTTGTAAGAGCGTGAAACTCTTAACAAAATGCCGAGAGAAGTATTAAAAACATTCCTAGACTTGAATTTAGGAGAATATATCACCCATGTGGCAAGATCAATGATGCATTTAAGTTCAATTAGTCAAGTAGGAAGTGTTCTTAAGATCAGTGGCGGACTCAGGATTTTCGTTCAGGGGGTTCGAAAAATAAAAGTATAAGCGTGTATATATAAGCCAACAAAACAAAATTTCAAGAAAGTAGCTGTATTTAGTTTTAGTGGCGGACCCTTGAATTTTTTTGGATTTAAAACCACACTTTTAGCATGTTTTATAAAATAAAAAACTAAAAAAAACGTGAAAACATAACTGAAACCTTAAAAAAAAAAGACTGAAACTGAAAAATAAAAAATAAAACGCTAATGCAGGGATTCGAACCCTCAACATGAGACTTAATTTTCAAGGAACCTGTCACTGGGCTATCTCTTTCTCCTTGTCATTGAGGGGGTTCAAAATATATATATCCACATAAATACAGAAATTACCTTATATATACAGTGTAATTTTTTGCCTAGGGGGTTCGGGTGAACCCCCTGGAACCAACGTGGGTTCGCCTCTGCTTAAGACTGTCAATAAATCAGAAACGAAACTAATAATTCGCACCAAATTTAGTGGTATTTTCAATATTTCTCTCTCTCTCTATATATATATATATGTTGTAAAACTTAAGGACAAAAGAACAATATAAAGAGGAAGAGAAGAAGACTATAAGACAAGAGGAACAATATAAACTAGCATTCTTTCTTTCAAGTGTATTCAACATTATTCTCAACACCACTATTTATAGGATTACATTGAGGAATACCAAAAGGTGTCATAAACATTACATTAAACCTTGAGAATTACTACCCATAAAGGAGGGAAATAAACCTAGGAGTTATGGTCATCCAATTAACCATATTATCAACAACATTACTACCAATAAAGGATGAAATTAACCTAGGAGTTATGGTCATCCATTTGACCACATTATCAACAACATTACTACTCATAAAGGAGGGAAATTAACCAAGGAGTTATGGTCATCCATTTAACCACCAAAATGATTTACAACACTCCCCCTTGGATGACCATTGATAGATAATATGTCTCGTTAAAACCTTACTAAGAAAAAAAACCCTGTGGCAAAAAAAATCTTAGTGAAGGACAAAAGAGTACATATATCTTGTAATACGCTTTGTTTGCTGCCTCGTTAAAAACCTTGCCAGGAAAACCCATTGCGATAAAACCTAGGTCAAGGGAAAAAGAGTGCAGCGCGTAGTTTACTCCCCCTATTGCGAACATCATTTAATTTCTTGGAGACGACGCATTCCAATCTTGAATACCAACTTTTCAAATGTTGAGGTTGGTAATGCTTTAGTGAAAAGATCCGCTAAATTATCAACTGAGTGAATTTGTTGAACATTTATTTCACCTTTTTTCTCAAGATCATGAGTGAAAAAGAATTTTGGTGAAATGTGTTTTGTTCTATCTCCTTTAATATATCCTCCCTTCAGTTGAGCTATACATGCAGCATTGTCTTCGTATAATGTAGTTGGAATATCTTTTTCCATAGAAAAACCACACATTTCTTGAATATGTTGAGTCATTGATCTCAACCAAACACATTCCCGACTCGCTTCATGGATGGCTATTATTTCGGCATGATTTGAAGAAGTAGCAGCTAATGTTTGCTTCATTGAACGCCAAGATATAGTTGTGCCTCCATATGTAAATAAATAGCCTGTCTGAGATCGAGCTTTATGTGGATCAGACAAATATCCAACATCTGCATAACCAATCATTTCTGACTTGGATTTATTAGAATAAAATAATCCCATATCAATGGTTCCCTGAAGATATCTTAATATATGTTTGACTCCATTCCAATGTCTCTTTGTTGGAGACGAGCTGAATCTTGCCAATAAACTTACTGATAACAGCAAGGTTAAGGGAGATCACAAATAGAGAATTAAATATTAGAATACGGAAGCACAAAGAAAAAAAACAAAAAAACAAAATAAAGATATGGGAAATTCGAAGGAAAGATCCACGAATTTCCAAAGATTAGATGTTCTAAGGCCTTGAAAAGATCCAAGTAACAACGTATAGATTTATGGAAGAAATCTAACGCCTTTACTTGAGAAAACGAATCAAAACGATAGATTCGGATCTTGACCGCTTTATGAGTAACTAAAGACAATAATTAGTATGTAGAAACTAATCACCTTCTAAAGAATACCAAAAAGAAACCAAAGATATCACAAGAAGAAGTTACTTTATACCTTAAACTATGAAACTAGTAAAGGTTTAAAGATAAATTCTCAAAGAACAAGTCACAAAGGTTCAAAGAACTCTCCCAAATATTATTAATATCAATCTAAATTGTCTTTAATGAATGAAAAGGACTCCTATATATAGGAGAAGGGAAAAACGTCCAAGAAGCCAAACCCTAAAAAAACAATTACAAGGAATCCTACTCTAGAAAGGAAATAAAGTAACCTAACTAGGAACAAATTTAGTACTTCTAGGAAAGCATTAAATGGTACTTAGGAGACCATAAATAGACTAAGGAAAATATTAATAACCTATATATAAATAAATAAATAAGGTAAATCCCAACTAGGAAAAGAATCTTGACAATCTTGGAAAGTTTGACTAGTCTTCTCTCAAAACTTGGGCAGAAAGCAACTCTTGTTGTGGCTGATTCTTGGACTCTTCTTGACCTTTTTTTGCACGAAATTGGACCTTAAAATTCCTCATCTTGGGCTTGAATTTGGGCCACCAAATAATTGTAGCATTTGGACAATTCCTCTCCCTTGGGCTTGAGCTCTTCTTCCCCAATAAGAAACCTTTGGATCAGCGATTGAAGCCCATTGAGCTTATCATTGAACTCCTTGGTTTGAGATCTTGTTATGGGCCTCCTTGGAGTTTCTAAAGCGTCATCCTTGTCCTTCAATGGAGTAGAGCTTCCTTGGATGCTATCATTTCCCTCTTCTTGAAGAGAATTCGTCCTCGAATTCAAATCTGCATCAAAATGGGAAAGATCAGAAACATTAAAAGTAGCACTAACTTGGAACTCACCAGGAAGATCAAGTTTATAAGCATTGTCTCCAATCCTTTCAAGGACTTTGTATGGCCCACTTCCTCTAGGATCTAGTTTGGTCTTTCTTTTGGAAGGAAATCTTTCCTTTCGCATATGCACCCAAACCAAGTCACCAGGTTTAAAAACAACATATTTTCTGCCCTTATTCCTTCGCAATGCAACTTCCTTGTTCTTCTTTTCAATTGCAAGCCTTGTTTGTTCATGAATTTTCTTCATCATATCAGCCTTCTTCTTACCATCAAGATTAGCAAAATCATTAGTAGGCAAAGGCAATAAATCAAGGGGGGTAAGGGGGTTGAATCCATATACAACTTCAAAAGGAGTCTTGCCAGTAGAAGAATGGAAGGTCCTATTATAAGCAAATTCTACAATAGGTAAGTAATCTTCCCAAGAAGTCAACTTACCTTTCAAAATAGCCCTCAACATGTTCCCTAAAGTTCTATTAACCACTTCCGTTTGCCCGTCCGTTTGTGGGTGACAAGATGTAGAAAATAGCAATTTAGTTCCCAACTTTCCCCAAAGAATTCTCCAAAAGTGACTTAAGAACTTGGCATCCCTATCGCTAACAATAGTTCTAGGTATTCCATGCAATTTAACCACTTCCTTTACAAACAAGTCAGCCACATGAGATGCATCATTAGTCTTTTTACATGGGATAAAAC